TCCTGATTCAGCTGGTGTGACCGTCAACGTCACAATCCATCCTAGTACCTGTCCTCCCGTCTCTCTTTCTGCGTTGACTGTAACGTGCCTATCGACTTGGACCTTGGAATCTGACTGTGCAACTTGCTTATGCCACTGTACTCTCGTTTCCTGTTCAGGTTTATTTCCCGCTTGTTGGCAAGATGACGCGCGCAACAGTATGGAAGGAGGCGGAGGATTTTGTGAAAATATACTCATCAGAAGCAATGTGTCGAGAGAAAAGTTCTATCCTAACAAATAGTCAAACTACTGTACAAAAATGACATGTTATTGCAACAGAGCCTACACTAATGCGGGTCAGAGATCTTAGAATAGGGCGGCCCAACATTCGCGAGGGCGGGAGGCAGGCTCGGGAGGACCGGGATGGTTGGTCAGCAACATGTCCGACAGTCCGATAAACCCGATGTGATATTAGAGTGACAAGCACATTAAAGCTAACGGTCGTTAGCTCGCTAATGCGTCTATGGCACGTTGGAAACGTATGGCCATTGACGCACGGAGACACGTGTAGTCATGTCTTATACATTCCGAACATCCAGTGTAGGAGTAGTAGTATATTAACATCATCCCAGCCACCATACTTCTACGTCCTCCATGATGAATCCTGCCAAACATTACTCAGGTGTTAATGACTTGCATCCCTCTACGTGAGTTCTGTTTTATCTGCTGCAATGCCCACTCATCACCTTCAGGCCTGCACTGTTGTACACAGCCGCTGCCGAGCAATCTGCCCAGTATGTCGCGCTCTGTTTACGCGAGCCACGACTCATTCTTGTTTTCCCAGCCCTGTTTATAGTCTTCCAACCCACATCAACGATGATATCGCGTCGCCGTACTATGGCAAGTTCAATTCGGAATACATTATCGGTACTCGCCTGAATGGTCCACGCAGTTCATAGCCCACGTCTGCGTCAAGATGTCGCACCGCGATACGAAATGGGTTCGGCTGCTAGTCTCCAAGTGACGTTCTCTCCGTACAACGACATCCACGGGTTGGTTCGTGCTAACGACGAATCCGAGGTTCCCCGCTTTCAGTATGGTGAGCATAGAGTGTAGTAGCCCAAGCGTGTCACACGCTCACCTGGATCATATCCTAGACGATAATCGTGGAAGCACTCAGTGGCTTCAATCAGTCGGTCACTACAGCGCTGCATACCCGCCTACGGTCTTTCCTCCCCCGAGTAGAGCATGCCACGAGTTTCGGCCAGCGCAGGTAACTCGCAGGTAACCTGCAACTCGCGACTCGCGACCCAGGTTCGCGCAAGTCGCAGGTTTGAGGTTGGAGCATTCTGCAAGTACTTGCGCAGGTTCCGGTAGTCAGTTGAGCTATAATATTATGCATATAAACTGTATTATACATATGAATATGGTTCAACAGAGCTGCAATAGGCTATAGAGATGATGTTTGCACTTGTTTGACCTCAGTTGGAGGGGATATGAGTGGGTTATAGCTCCAAACTCGTCAAAAACTCGCAAACTTGCGGGTTTTAGACCCGCGACTCGCGAGTTTGAGACAAGTCGCAAGTCCGGACTTCAGATATGCAAACTCGCGCAAACTCGACTCGCCGGACCCGGGTTTAGACTCGTGGCATGCTCTACCCCCGAGTCCCTTCGCTGCTTCCCTCCATGGCCACAGGATGGTTCTTCCAGGCTCATCTACCGGACAGCAAGCATTACACCAGACACATTCTAGCATCTTTCAGTCAGTCGAAGCACCCTACTCTCCATTCCCCTTTGTCCAAACCAATGGCGCGATGCTCATGCCAGTGGACTTACCGCCGCACGGCACCTCGTTATCCCCAGCCATGACTGGGTCGCCCTCTTCGTCCAGCCATAACGTGTTGTTACCGTCATCCGACTTCGGATACATTCCCTATGAAGTTCCGCCAGCCGACGCGTTGTATCCGCTACGCCACTCTATCCATGATCCCGACGATATGGTTGTCAACATGCCACCTGGCGGAGGTAATCCCTTCCCGGGTCATGCCCGAGTCCAGCCGCGCCGAGCACCGTCCCCCGCGGGATACATCTGTTCAAGGTGCAAGCTGAAGGTCGATGTCAAGACTTCGGGAGTGCGCAAAAGTACGTGCATAGAAGGGCTTACCCTCATTGATTCTGATTGTCATAGCGCGCGGTTTTAAATGCGAGCAATGCCCTAAAAGATTTGCTCATCTTCCGTCGCTGGCGCGGCATAGGCGCAACAAGCATATAAGCAAATCGACATAATGGAGTGGCGATGATCTTGTAATTCTAGATGTTTTATGTTAGTCTTGTAGTGTACTGTGTTTGTGGTTTTACATACAATGCCTGGTTTTGTGTTGGTTCCTGCCTGTCTCGTTCGGATCCTATCTGACGCGTTCAACCCCAGAAATGAATACCTTACACAACAGACAGTGGCTCAGACTCATCCGCAACGCCGCAACGGCCCTTCCTGTGCGCAACAACCGTCGTCTCCAAGTCGTCTCGCCGTGATTATACCACTCTTGCTCCGTGAGGAGACATGTTACTAGTGGCCTGGTAGTGGAAATGCGTGTACGGAAGGGCGCCTTGAAAGACGAGAGCAGCACAAGGGACATATGAAGACACTGCAGCCAAGTAGCTTCGACATTGACGCAGCCCTTCGGGTGGTAGATAGTCCATAATTCGGGTCATTTACATGCACAGTCTGGGGAGCCTCGTAGATAAAAACAGTAGTCGCAGGCCAGGCTCTTCAGTAGCAGGAATATCACTGTGGGGATAGAAAAAGGTTTCTGTCAGTAATGGACAGAAGAGGGTCATGGAAGCAAGAGATTGAGGCATCTCGATCATTTGGGTTTCGGCCGGAAGCGTCCATCTCTGCTTTTGCCACCATCATGCATGGTCTCAACCCCCTTGCCAACATCCACGAGTAGAAATAGGCGCGCTCACAAACCTGGATTTGCCGAATGGTCTACGGCTTGTTCGTTAATTGCTTGCAAAGGGGGAGACACGGAACGGAGGCTATAATGGACCTGGTGCGGTGCCGTTTTCCCTTTCTTCAATGCCAGTGTTGACTCGTGAAGAGCACGACGTGGCGAAATCTTAGTTCGGAGCTCAGGATGCGAGATGATTGAGGAGCGGCCCCCGACACCAGTGGAGGCAACACGGAACGAACTGCTTCCACACATATGTCGGAGGAATCCTCCGTAATACACTCGGACGAAAAGGAAACATATCTTCTATCATGGCGTCGCGCTTGTCTCTGTTTCGCTGGATCAAAGAATTCGCTCACGTTCTAACGAACACTTGCGACAGTTCGAGAGGGATTTGACACGCCAAATCACCGTGCAAGTAAGTTCAACCTCTTGTTGAATCCAGGCTTTGACATGTTTACTAGCCTCAGCATATTCTAATTACTATCAGAATTCCGTTGGCGACGTCGTCACTCTCCCACAGGATTTCCCGGCGAACTAATAATTTGCTGTTTGCGAGATGATGGAGCAGCGCCCTTTCCTCCAGTCAATTTAGCGTCCTCAGGGCGCCAAAACGCAAGAGTCGAAGAAGGAGGGGGGATGGCAGGTGTATGCATCCATACGACAGTAACGGAACGGATGGCGGGATGGTGCGTTGTGTTTATTGTTTCTTCAACATGTCTTGCTGTACCCTTTTTGGAGTATACTGCGAATTCACTATGTCCTCTTCCGCATTTTCTTCTGCTCTGACAATGGCGCTAACTCACCCGCGCAGGTACGCGCGTGCGACGATTGAACCACTGTAATGCCTCCGTCTTGGAAGTGCGCTGTGTTTGGACAGCAGTGTTTGCACTCGCCTGCAGTTGAATCAACGCGGTGACAACTCGGACCACTCTCCCATCGTGCCGCTCATTTGCTCTTCACACTTCGTCCTCCCAGTCGCTCCCACCCCAAGGCGACCCAAGGCAACCCTGGCGATGACATGCCTCACTACTCGACGGTTCGAGTCGGGTCTTGAAGTGAAGCCATTGCCGCTATGACCGTCACCAAAGTCAAGCACGGACCAGGTGTCTAACCATAATGCCACTCATCACGCTTCCTCCTTCGAATCGGTCCTCTAGCGCGGCGCAGGGAATATCCAGCGTCGTCATCTCTTTTACGGGCACCTCATCCTACCCTCGTCTCCATCCTTTATGGCTTGTTCGTCGTCAGCAGCGCAAAGGCACTTAACATCAGGCATCTACGTGCTTTTGTGGGAGCTGCTCCTACTGCCAGGCCCGCTCATTCGAGGACAACCTCTTTGTGCAGCCTCCCCACCCGTCGAGGACACGCCATTATTCAACTTGATTGGTAGGATCCGGGGATGGGGGGAGGGTACCAATGGTGAAGATGCGGTCCTAGCCCGGTGCAGGAGGGGCACACTTCATCGCTCCCATTCATTTCTTCGCGACGAGGTGAGGAGCACTGGCTCTTACAACATTGAACATGACGAGGGCGGCGAGGGAAGGAATGATGACGCGAGGAGGACCCCATCGTCGGCTTTGTTTTCTGATACGACACCGCCTAGCGGTAGGGACCATCGCTTTGGAGAGGCAGGAGGAAGTGGGCGAGGGGTAACGAACGCTCACCTCCGAGCTACTACTCTCTGTCATCTGGTGTGGAGACGCTGCCTGCAGGAAAGTCTAGTATAGCCGTCCCCTTCATTAACGTACTGTACACTTTAATTCAATTCGTCGGTCACGGGTCACAGAGGATCGAAATCGACGAAAAGTCACAAGGTCACAGCGAAAATTGAGAAAAGTCCCGCGGGGCCCCGCCAGCCTCCGCTGCAGCTCCGCCGCGGCGGCAATTACCATATATGGTAAGTCGACGAAACGAAAATTTCGTCAGAGCGGTCACAGGTCACATGGACCGACGAATTGATTGAAAGTCTACAGTAAGGCTACGATTCCCGACGTCACGTCGTCTCTGTACTTGTAATCCAGTCGTAGGACCACCATGTAATCTAAAAAGTTGAATGGATTTCCAGTATGAGTCGACCCAGGTTCAAACTGAGGACCTTCTGTGCAACAACGTGATGATGGAGTCATATTAGACAGATGCGATAACCAACTACGCCATCGACCCTAGATCCCTTCTCGCGTCCGCGCCACCGGGGCGACTACTTACGTCTTTGTATTGGACGACTCTGTGTTTTGCTGCGCGTCAAAGCTCGACTTGCAGGAATATTTGCACTTGTCCCCGTGGAACAGGATCTTCTCTGACTCTGCCAACATTTCCTGCATCGAGCTAGTACACTTCCCCGAGTCCTCGTCGTCCCGCGCGCGTTAAGCTCACCCATTCCGCCAAAGTATGCTTAAATGGAAGCCGGAATCTCTCTCCTCGCTACATGATTCTCGTTCAATGGCGCTTGACACGTGTCTTCAGGTGGTGAGGGTGGCAAACGCAAGGAAGTTGCTGGCCGCCTTTTTCTCTTTTATGACAACGTGGATGAGGATCCGGAGTCTGCCTGCATGGGAAGGAGATGGGAGAGCCGCACCACGACATGAAGCACCCTCGCCTTTCTGCTGCCAACCCATACTTGATGGACCTTTATTGTCAATTTTTGTTGTCGTTGACCTTGGAGCCTCCACTTTGATATACGACCGCAATATCTACTACAACCTTTTGTCTCCTCCTGTTTGCCCAATCCACCGCAATGTCTATCACTGTACATCCAGGTTGTCGCCATCTTGAACCGGGCTTTGACGACGATCTCTAGAAATCCAGATGAACATTTCCCGACACCGCCTCCGGGTCGTGGAATACATCAGGAAAAAGGTTACTGGCCTTGAGATCCTATAGGTCAACTCTGGGACCTCCGGTTGTCTTGAGCAAGCTAAGTTACGGAGGCTGTCAAGTTAACTTTGGAGAAGGTTCGGCGGGAACCTTTCTCTCAGGTTACCTCAACCGAGATGAAAGTTAGCTCTAGCAATCTGCAAGTTACCTCAACCTGCACTGAAGTCCACTCTATTCATTACCAAGGTGACTCATCTGAGTCAAAGCAATGAATATAAAAGCATTAACAGGTAGCAGAATTCATTGTGCTACTACGGCGTACTCTACAAGTCACAGTATACTAGAAGCAAATCTATGAACTACGGTACAAGGTATCTCATGAGTAGGAACACCGGGTTATCCTAACTTGCCCTTATATCAAGAGGTCGCCGCCACCATCATCGACGTTTGACATATACCATCGTGAGGCCATCACATCATTGGTGTTGGCAGCCCCGTAGTGTCCGGCTTGTTCGCCGATAGTGGCTAAAGTGTGATTGTTAATGCCGCCCACATTTTACTAGCCTGAAACATACCTCGACGGCAAAACCAAGTCTAGTCGCGGATACAGTGTCCCGCTCTTCATTCTCGTTTGTTCCTGTCCCTTGCCGCCCTCTCCTTGTCCTCGTGTGTGGTGGAACCACTCTCGTATGCATCCTCGTCCGTTGCATCATTGTCACTGGTTCGTATCGTCCATTGTGGTCAGCGTAGTCGTCGCGGTCAGAGTCGTCCTCGCGGTCAGAGTCGTCATCGCGGTCAGAGTCGTCGTCGTGGTCAGAGTCGTCGGTGTCGGCTTCCTCGTCTGTTATAGTCATCATTCTTGCGCGTTGTCGTGGTCGTCGAGTCATCCTCCTTCGATGTCTTGGCACAGTCATCTAGGTGGCTCGGTGTCGGAGGTCTGAGCTGTTGTCGGAGAAGTGTCGGTGCACCCTATGCAGTAAGGATAACATGTTATACCACTGTTCCTACAGGGCAGAATAACGTGTCGTTTCCTGTAGTCTACCTGGCTCATCTGGCTGGTGCTAGGGGTAGCTGGGCAGCGCTATTGCTTCCCAATTGGGCTGGGGAGGGATAGCTATAATGGGTAGGGGGAGGGATAGGCCTATTTGGGATGGGGAGGGATGGTCCCAATTGGGATGGGATGGGGAGGGGTGATAGCAGATCAGGGATAGATCAGATATTGATGGGAGATGATCAGTGGACCCTGGGATGGGTGGGGATGCTCCTGGCTACGCAATTGTGGCGCATTTTTGATTAGATCAGCATTGGGCTGGATGGGGTGGGCAATAATGAATGCTGCTATAGGGGATGGTTGTTGGGGTGATGAAAACCTTTTTTATAGTTTTTTGGGCTGGGAATCCAATGGTGTAAACCATTTTGCGATAGCTTCAAAACTGGAGGAGATATTAGGGGTGCAAAAATGCGCCACACTTCTAGTAGGCCTTGTACATAGCCTATAGCCTTGAGACTTTAATACCTTTTAGAAGTACTATAGACCGATATCTGATATCATTTTCAGGTGATTTCATCAAAGGGTTCAAGAGATATATCAGGATGACTGCTCCAGGGCCACCAGGGATATTGCACAGGATCCTGCTACTCTGGGGACCTACAACTTTGATATATCGTTTATAGTGCTAATAAACCTTTATTCATGATGTGGAGAGTGTCCTCAACCCAGTAGTCCATATATAGATAGGTCCCCAGTGCTGTTTTAAGCATTTTCGCATTTCTGGTTATTTAATATAAGGATACCTCTCTAAATTGTACTGGGCTACCTTTAGACATTCATTTACAACCTTTTTGCAAAAGGAACCATGTCATTTGGTCAAGGGACCAGTGTTCTAGAGGTCAGTCTTCCTCCCCACCGGAGTTTTGATCAAAATTCCCACGCTCTAGAGGGAGGATCGTCGACTCAATTTAACGTGTCTCACACATGCTACTGCCTTCATTCCTTCTGTAGGACGTGTATATATGTTATATATATGATCTTCCAGTGTCAGACCAGTAATGTAATGAAGTAATCAAGTCAGGAACTCGTCCTAAGCTCTGTAGACAGGTTAGGCTACCTTCAGATAGTAATATTTCATGTTCTACTTCAAAGGGCACCCTAAAAAGTGTTCAGTTATGAATA